TAGGACATTACCTCAATGCTGCGGCTCTCCAGAGCAGACAGAGGCTGAGGCTGGCTCCAATAATACTCAATGTCCATGAAAATGCTGTTGTGGGTAAATAAAATTTAGGTGACTGCATGCAGTCAGGCTTGGGCTAGCCAAGCTGGTTGATTCTGGATGCTTCTGAGAATGCAAATGAAATACTGCTTCATACAATTTGGGACTGCCTCAGGGCTGGGAACACACAGACTTCACGATGCCTTGACTTCCCGTTGTCCTACTTGCGGGAGAGGCACTGACTTGGTATGGCCTCGCCTGCCTTCCTCCAGAATTGTGGCATTTTTTCATGGCTTTGCAAGGACTTGGAAGGACTGTAGCACAAAAATAGTGTTCTTGCTTCAAGATGTTTGTTCCTCCCACGCTTTGGGACGTGTTGCCGGAGAGGTCAGGGGTGTTGCCGTGCAGATGGCTGGCTTGGCGCCTGAGCTCTGCCAGCCGGGAGGCTGAGGACATAAGGGCCCTCCCACTGTACCCCTACAGCGTAAATTCCTGGGTGAACATGAGAGCTGAGCCCTCAATAAGCTTTTTGGTTGCTGTTACTGCTGTAACTGGTACTGCAGTCCCAGACCTGGAATACGCCACTTGTTAGAAACCTGCTTCTAATTCCTAGTTTATTTCTGGCCCTTTGTGTATGTCAATGTTTTCCTCTAGCCTAAACAGCTCCTCTCCCTCCTTAGTCGGAACAGACACTCCCTGATGGCCTGGTGGGGAGCTTCCTTCACCCATCTTTGGCTGCTGGGAGGAACAAGCCAAGCTTTCTACCCTCTTCTCTTTAAAGGGCTCTCTGTGCCCCTGCCTGGACTTGTGTCCCCCCACCATGCCTATCAACCGGTGCTGCTGCTCAGGCCCAACACACAGTCCCATCTATTTTTTAAAGCACAAGTGCCAACTACCTACAGCGCAAGAGGCAATCACACTGATTTACCCTCAGGGAGTGAAGATCTGACCAAGGAAAAACACCACTTCTTCACCATGTTTTGCTGTGTCACCTGCTTTGCTGCACGAAGTCAGTAATCACAGAATGACACAGAATCACAGAATGGGAGGGGTTGGAAGGGACCTTAGGACATCATCCGGTCCAAGCCCCCTGCTAAAGCAGGTTCTCCTAGAGCACGTTACACAGGACATCGTCCAGGTGGGCTTTGAAACTCTCCAGAGAAGGAGACTCCACAACCCCCCTGGGCAGCCTGTTCCAGTGCTCTGTCACCCTCAAGGTAAAGAAGTTTTTCCTCATATTCAGCTGAAACCTCTTTTGTTTCAGTTTGTGCCCGCTTTGCTAAACACAATTGTAGGACAGCCTGCTGGAGGATGCAGGCAGTTTTCTCTTCAGCAACACCCAGGAAAGGTGCACGATAGACCGAATGCTTGCTTGAGGGTTAGCCCACCTGTGTGCCAGCCTTGTGGCTGCACTGCAAAAGGAAAGAGGAGTACTTAGCTGAGGGGGCTAAACATTGCCGTGGCTTCACGGGTGAGCCACTGTGACCCATGGATCTCCTCTCTGGAGACATTTTGGGATGTGAACTATTGGTGGCCATAGGGGAGGAACCCCCAACACAGCTGGGCATTTGCACTTACCTGTTGCTTTAAGCAGTATCATGATCTCTGGGAATCGTGGGCTCCACAGGAGGGCCACTGACATCTTCCTTCCCAAAAAGTCGCAGAAGAGCTGTTCTAGCCTTCAGTCAGGGAAAAGGACCCTGATTAAAATCTTCAGTGGCTTTGATGAACATGTCACCAGCACCCGCCTGTTCTTCTGCAAGAGGAGACACTAAGATCAGCAGCACCCACAAATTGCTCTAAATTTTAACAAATGCAACCAGGCAGTGGTCTAACAGGCACCAGCCTACAGATCGTTTTCAGTGTATCAGCAGTTTAAATAACTCAGAATGCCACAATTAGATCCTATTAAAAACATTAGTTGGATAATTAGGCTGTATTTTAATTAAACATTAATTTATCCAATTTGTTGAACTAATTACAATTCAAACACAGGAAAGTTCAGAACAGTGGATTTAACAGGCCCCTGTGTGATGCTGCATGATTCATTTTTCAAGTCACCTAAGTGTCGGTGGCTCACTGGAGTGACAAAGCAGCAGCCGCTGTCCCAGGAAACTGCTGGGGAAATTCTGTTTATATGCTAAGAGATTCTGCATGGTTTGGGGAAGCAGAACATAAGGCAACATTCCTGAGAGCTGTCATGCATAACAAGAATTGCTTCACAGTCTCAATTTTCCACAATAAAAACTTGTGACTTTGTGTCACTGCTAGACACTTATCCCCTTGCTGCACTCCTCCCCAAATCGTTGAAGGTTGGGGAAGCCGGGGGGCCAAGCTTTCACAACCTGTTCTGCAGTTGCACTGTGCAGCCCAGAGTGGAGTAAATCCCGGTGGGGCGGTTTGCCAGGATGCGCTGTGCGGGGCGGTAAAACAAGCACCCTCCCAGAGGGAGTGTGCCAGAGGGCCACCCAGAGCAGCCCACCGCTCAGGGCACCCTGCTCTGCCAGACTCCCTCCCCACGTACCCACGCACCCTCCTGCCGTCAGCAGAGCCCATGAGTTAGGACAGTTAAAAGCAAAAATTTTGCAGTGTGTGTAGCTCATGCACTTGACTGTTCATTAAAGATCTTCTGTTGTGGTTCTTTAATCAGCAAGCGTGCCTTGCTGCATTGATTGTCTGTCCCATATATACCTAAAATCGCTCACCTGAAGACTCTCCATCTCCTTGTTATTATGGGATTGCAGCATCCCTGCATAGCCGAGAGGGAGTGACACATCACACAGATATTTTGTTGACTTCTTGAGCTTCAGAGCACAAGTTTCAGTGTGGGTAAAAGCAAACAAGCAGAAGACCTGAAACTTAAAGAAAAATGAGGGAAAGGCAGGACAGTCAATAACAACTTCATAGTTAAAAATGAAAAAATAGAAGCATTTTTGGTACATACACCCCCACCACTACATTAGCAGTAGAACAGCCCACATGGTGACACCTACAGCCGCATTTGATCTCCCCGTCACAGATTTCCTCCCTAGCTGTTCAGCTGTTTCCATTTTTTTAAGGGAAGACTGAAGCATGATAACATCTCCTGCTGCTCTCTGAGGCTTTCTGGATATGTGTGTGTTCGTGCGTGCAGATGTGTGCATACATCTGTCCGTCTGTTCTTCTGCTGCACCTGCCTAAGTCTCGGTGGTCTTTGTACGCTTTTGCACAAGAAAAACTTTTGATGCCTTTTCCACCCCAATCTGGAAAGGAGGCAAAGCCAAGTGCAGTTCTTGGCTTGGCATGTAGCTATCCTAATGATACTGTGACTGAGGAAGGAAACCCATCCAAGAGACATGATGGATGCTGCTTTTGGAATGTCAGATTACTTTGTGTGCAAGACTATCAGACACCCTTTATTACCTCAAAGCTAAACAATATTTCTGAAGAACTAGTTGTGGTTTGCTTTTTTCTTTAAAATACGTTTTTACTTTGGAATTTGGGTCTCCATATCCAGGGCCCTCATGGCTCCAGCATGCCAGATGACTGCAGCAGCCTGCCGACTTGGAAGGGAAGAGCAGTGGCTGCGCTCCATGCCAGTGGTGAACCTCTTTGCAGGGCTGTCCAGAAAAAAGGCACTAGTGGTTGACATGAGTGTCTTTATAGAGAAAAAAGCACTAACCACACTGTTCACAGTGGCTACTCTCATATCACCTAACATTAGCATCTCTAAGTTATCACTCAGATAAAAACAATTGCTGACTCACAAGTCATTAAAACAAGGAGAACCATGCTGAGATGGGATGCCTTGAGGGTCCTCAGCATTGGCTCTGAACCATATCACCTCCCAAATGCCAGAGCCTCTGGGCAGCTGCTCTTATCTTCAGTCAGCATAGAACTGAAGGAGCAAGCCCTCGTCCTCAAAGGACAGCCTTTGAGGCCCTCAGAGTTCCCCAAAGGAACCACAGCTAACTCCATGGATGGTACACCCCAGATTTGGTTGTGTGGAGCAACATGTCACAGGTGCAGATGAGCCAGCTCAGGTCTGGAAGCCCAGGTTGCTCAGCCACAAGGCTTTGTGCCTGAACAAGCGTGGCCACCCTTGCTTCTGGCTGCTGGTGGGGAAGGCTGCAAGCCCCTACAGCTCAGGAAGGTGTGGGTTCAGGGGCTGACCCCACAAGTAGACTCCCCAGTGCAAGTCAAACAGGGTGGTCTGTTTGCTGGGTCGGAGCCTCTATGCGCACGCTCAGTCTTGCAGGCAGCCTGCCTGCACATCACATCTCCCATCTGGTTTGGGAAACAAAGCAACCAATGAGTTTCAGCCTACAGCATCTTTTCCAAGGAATTATTTTCACTTGTTCAGTCCAAACTTAAAACAAAACACCACCACACACACTATTTGTAAGACAAAACCGTACCTGAGCCAAGGTTTGAGGACTCACACAAAACTTCCAGTGGGTACTCCTACCAGGCAGCCCCAGGGCAGGGCTTCTTGAGGCACCACCTTGGTTAGTGACTACAGCTCAGGAGAAGCAAAGCTGCTGTGGGGACAATCTGACTTTGGTTAAGTTGCAAAGAACTAAACCCATTGTTCAAATTGAGGTAATTTAAGAGATATAATTTTTAACTGTTATTCCTGGAGGGAGCAGGGACAAGAGGGGGAACAGTTCGTTACCATCTTCCCATTTAGCAAGTTTTGGGGTTGGAAGCGTTGGGATATCTGCTGATACTAATTTCTGCGATTAAGTAACTGTGGGCCATAGTTCAAGTGTGGGAAGAGAAATGAAAGTTATCCTCATCCTTATCCTTATTTTTTGTTGTTTTGTTTTTCAGTCAGGACATATTTTTCACTCAGGAAAGATTTTAATTGGGGACAGATGAAAGAAAGAGAGGGCATGTTCATTTATTTATTTTCTGATAGACCATGAAAAAAAATTAAGAGTGATTAAACCAACAAACTTTCTTTAATAAATTAATAGCAGCATCACAAAACCCTGATGTGAATGACCCAAAGGAAGTTGGGTAAGTGACAGTATTTAACCATTCACAAAAACGTAATCACCCACTGGCCAGGAGAGAACTCAGGCGCTGTAAGGCAGTCCCCTTGTCTGTTTATCTAAACAAGTGACATACATCTGTACGGGTCCAGCTGAGTCGCAACGCTTGACATATTTACAGTTCTGGTGCTGAGTTTTTTAAAAACATTTATAAAAATTCTGTAAATTCTCTGTTCAATTCCCATTATTTACATCCAAATATAGTAGGTTCCCTTTTTGCCCATACAACAGAACCGGCAAGGATAAGACATGAAGGCTCCTATGCAAAGACAATGCCTGTGTGTGGACTTGCACCAAGCTTGAGGATGCTGTGGAAAATGAACTATTCACACATGACCTATTCACACATGTGCTAGAAGCTACTGTAATTCAACTTATTGCTAAATGCTTTCAAAGTCTGTGGTTGGCTTTTAAATATATATATATATATATGTATATATATATATATACACACTCATACATATATATATACACACACACATACATGTTTGGAAAAGATGTGCTATGAATTCACCCAAGGAAAAAAAAGAACTTAAAAACCAACGTGATCCTTCTGACTTTTCTGTACTGTTTGAAATGGTCAAATCTGACTCAGAGCAAAGGGCAGTCACTGAAGGCACAAGTTTGTGTCTCTGGCCAGTCCTTTTCCTACTGGTTACCAGACTTTTTGGAAAGGTATTCCCAAGCTTTCACACCTGTGGCACTGTCAGCAGGCTGGTACACAGTGCGTCTCCGCTGCCTTCTGCAAGCAGTAAGCTACACCCCACACTGAGATACCCTGCCTGCCTGCCTGTCTGGAAGTACTACGGATTTTTCCCAGGAGGGAATGAAGGAGAAGAGAGGACATCGACTTCAATGCATCAAGCTGGGAGCAACCCAGCAGCAGATGTAACCCAGATGTTGTGTTTCGGTAGTGGCCTCAGCGAGGTTGTTGCTGTACGCAGCAATGCAGCAGCACAATGTTACGCTAAAGCACTAGCAGAATTTTCTATTTCTTCTACAAGTTAATTTTGATAGGATGAACATGACAAGCTTACAGTACAAGCAGTTTATGTTAGTAAAATGCAATTTATCCATGCCTGGTGTAAGCTTTTCTGTTCTGAGGATTTTTGTAGCCAGAGGCTGCCAGTGATGCTAAACACATCCATGTTAGATGGGCGCTGCAGCATTTGTGTGTTAGTTAATGAAGATGTAAAAAGCTTATGGGTGATATCTGGCATTAGACAATACTCTACACAAGGAAAATTGCAGGAGAGGCATCACCCCAGAGGCACAGTGCCAGAAAGACACAATGCCTTGGAGGGTTTGTCTACACAGGAACACAGAGGAAAATGAATTCAAATTATACATGGTGTGAATTAAAAGCAGATTACTTAAAAACTGCTTTAAATCCCAATGTGGATGCTTTCATTAAGATGTAAGTGGTGTTAATATGATATACTATAATTTACTTTGGGAGTGGAATGGAATAAATCAAATTTAAAACTTAATCCGGATTAATCATCCATGTAGACTACCTCCAGGTTGGCTTCCTTCCTGTCCCTGGTCACGTCACCAGCAAATTAGTCCAGTCACATACTCTGTCCAGCTCTGCCCACCCCCTCCTGAGACAGAAAAAACAAGCAGGGACCCTCGTTTATGCCTCTCTCCTGAGCATCCCCCGGGGAAGCATAACCTGCACCTCACAGCCTGACCCCAACCAGCACCACACACACAGCAGCTTCTGATCTACACCCAAAGCAGCATTTTGTCACCGGCACTGCAAGTCCCAGGATGTTGAAAAAATAAAAGCAAATGCTACACAAGCTAAGGAATAAATAGATGTGAGGACTGAGAAGACAAGAGCTCTTACAAAACCAGAGCGCTCTTCTCCAGGTCAACCCTGATCATCCAAGCAATCTGTGAAGGCAGTGCCATCCACACTGAGCAGAGTTTACTCCATCCCAGAGCTGGTGATCATCTGTAAGACCAAAGGAGGGCTTTTTTTTAAATCTGAGGCACTCCATTTATGAAATGATTGAAGCAGATAACTGGGGTTTGCTCTGGTTTTTGTGCTTCTTCTCCAAGTGTGCAAGTGATCCCTGCCAGGATTGCAAAACCACACCAGAACTGCATTCCCCACCTTCCTTAGGGAAACCGGAGCCTCCTGGGGAATGGAAAGAAAACTGCAGGGTTGGAGAGGGAGCCAAAATTTAACAGAGGTCCCTTGAAGTGCAAGATTGCCCCAGTATGGCAGGAAGCCACTACCCACAACAGGATGTGTCTGGCCAGGTGCCTGCACAGCCTCTATGCTTTCATGGTGTCTGTCTGCCAGGTTTCTGTACAGTCGTTCCATGGCACAAATAGGGGTGAGGATTTAAAGTATATATTTACTGTCAACTTGAAAAAGAAAGTTATACTGACCAAGTCTAATAGCATGTATTTGATATATAACTATTAACGTGCCATTCTGGACTCTAGCAAATGCCACCTGAGATAAATATTCAGCATTTTTGTTCATGCACTGGAAGAAGAATTCAAACATTTTGTCCATGACATATGCAAAGTAACTAATAGTTCTGATCTAGTATTAACAGTAAATATAGAACCTTAAACTTCACTGCAGTATATTAATATATATGATTTTAAGTACTGGACTGGAAAGACAACTCTTTTTTTTCTTTAAAAAAAAGAAAAAGCTTTGTTCAGAATGCAGTATTTACACTGTCCTTTGACCAACACTTACATTTTTACACAATATATTTTGGCTACAGATACACTGTAGCAAAATGCTGTGTGAGCCACCCTTACACACAGCTCACTCTTTCGCTTACAACATTACAGCTGTTTATGGAGAGCTCTGAAGTCCCCGGTTGCATTTCAAGGCCCTCCTCAACTTCATCTAGTTCCATGCTATTGAATTCATTGCCATTTCGATAACTAGTTAAAGTCAGATCTTTCCCATATAAAGCTGTTGAAGCAACATTCAGACATTGATTCTGCCGCAGCGCTGATTTTTTACTCGTCTTGTATTGGCAACGGATGTAATTGGAAAAAGCCCTGCGGTACGTTTTATTGAAGAGTGTGTATACGAGGGGGTTAATCCCAGAGCAGACATACCCCACCCAAACAAACACATCAAGCAGTTCACTCAAGAGGTCTTTATCGCAGGCTTCCTTGCAAAGGACAGACATGACGTTGGTGATGAAAAATGGGCACCACATGATGAGGAACAAAAAGAATACGATGCCCAGGACCTTGGAGGCTCTTCGCTCGTTGTTGATGGACTGCATAGTTCCTTTCCGAAAAAGCACTGCCTCCTTATTTACCGGAGAGTTCAAGTGAGAGGCCCCCTCATGATTGTGAAGCATGGAAACATTCTCTGTGTTGTTTTCCTTCTTGAGGCAGTTTACGCTGCTCCTCCTCTGCTTGGGCACCTCTCCGCACATGAACACTGTGGCCTGTCTCTGCAGCACCTGGACTGTCAGGCAATACGTGATCACCATGATGATAAGAGGGATGAAGAACGCCATAAAGGATCCAATGAGGACAAAGTTCTCATCATTGAGGACACAGGTCCCATTTACGAACACCCTGGAGTCGTCCTGCAAACCAATGACCGGAATGGGCGTAGATATCCCTAGAAGAACAAGACCAAAAAAGAGATGGTTACCTGGAGGCATGGGGCTCCAAAGAGGCAGCAGAGGTGATGCAGGTCCTGCACACACACAGCCCGCTGCCTAAAGCTGTTGGAAAGAGAAGTTATGGCTCCCAGATGGAAGGGAAAACCTTGTGTAACAGCCCTCCTGGGAGCACAACTCCAGGGCATGAACACCCTCTGCTGGGAACAACTGCAGCTTTGCTGTGCTTCACAGCTGACACAGCAAATGCAGCGTAACTCCTTTATCAAGTTCTTTTTCTAGCATTAATTGCTATTTTGGGTGTAGAAAAGCGGTCGTTACCCTGCTCTGTTCCACCTGGCTGCTCCATGCCTGCCACTTTGGGGGAGGGGTTTGAAATCACTGACATAGGTTAGATAGTAGCAAAATTTGAAGAGGAAAATTATCAAAATGCAAAAGAATTATGGCTATGAAGATTTATAAGCAAGTTTCTTAAAGACATTAAAATAATCCTGATAGCAAAATGGCCACTTTTGCCATGGCATCATGGACACGTGGAAGAAAAGCTCCTGGCTTCCCAGGTCCTTATCGATTATCTCTGTCGAAGCAGACAGTGGTCTCTGCAAGCTCTGCCTTCCCGGGCATTTCATCCACAAGCAGTGTGAACCTGAGAAGTACCACAGAGACAGTCTTGCTTGAATTTTTAGAGAAGGCAGTTACATAGTCAAATGAAAAGGCTGCATCATGCATCTGCCTGATTCCTATCCCTCTGTCTTGAATACAGGGCTAAAAACTGGAACAACAGACAAAGTAAGAGTGGAAAAGGTGTAACTAAAATGGTAGTCAGGTTGACATGATGGTCTGAAATCAGAACCCCAGCCACAAACACTCTGGCTGAAAGGAAGGAAACTTTAAATGATTCAATTATAGTAATATCTCAAGCACAGCTCCCAGCTACTCCTAAGCAGACTAATAAGCCTCAGGAATCACTGCACTTGCCAAGGCATTTTCTCTTGTATCCTGGTTACAGTCATGGACTTAAGGGCAGACAAGTGAGATTAAGAACATTTTGGATCCCTTTTCCACTTCAGCATCGCCCAGCACAGCTTGTTTGTCCAGGATTTCAGGACATCAGTCCTGTCTGGAGCAGAAGCAGGAGTCCTGCCTGGAAGGTCTCCACAGATGGCCTTGTGTCCATGCTGTTGGCACATGGACAGAGCAGGCAGCACGTCAAGCCCGGAGCACGACTGTCCAGGGCTGCACATAGTCACCTGTACCCACGGCTAGCTGCTGGCTTGTCCCTTGCGGAGTGAATGAAAGAGTGAAAGTATTTTGAATAGCTCTAATTCAGATGCATTCACTTAATGTCCTCCAACACTGTTTTCCTCTAAGGAATATATATTTGTATACCTGCTCTGTTCTACCTTGTGAAAGTCATCAGCAATTTACTGTGTGGACAGAAAGAAGAGGGAATACAGGACTCATACCAGAGTTCTGGATTTCACTCAAATATTTTTGATGCATACTGAAATCCAAACTTTGTCCCTTGATCTGTGGAGCTCAGTCCCAGACTGGGACAGACCCGAAACCTTCCAAAGAAATCTGTCTAGACACAGCCAAAACCAACAAAAGCAACAACGTATTTTGGAATACCGCAACCTATGTGTATGTAAAAACATGGAAAAGACATGGTGGGCCAGATCTAGTCAGGCCATCATGGGTTCATCTAGCCCTGTCTCTTTTCTTTGGCAGGTACCAGAAGTCTAGAGCCATGGTACAAGATGGGGCAGCTGTCAGCATTATAGGTTAGAAAATTCCACAGCTAGAAGTTGCATCCACACCTTGGTTTTAAAATAACCTTTGAGAGATCTATCTTCCATGAATTCTTGATCTCATAACTCCCCAATACTCACTGACATCCAGTTCCACAACCTATCTGTTTGTCATGTGAACAAAGTATTTCTTGATCATTTTAAATTTGCTGCCTGATAATTTCCTTTGACTCCCCTCAGTTTCTCTACTGGGAGAAACAGTGGATAATCACTGTCTGGACACCTTTTCCACCTTCTCCAAGATTTTATAGCCCTTTATCATCCCTACTGTCTGATATATCTTTTGGAACTGAAGAATGCTATTCTATCTACTCTCTCCTCATGCCAAACTCATTTTATGCCTTTGATTATCTTTCTCAATTTCTTTTCAAATTCCTCTCTGGCCTTTTCAAGAAAGGAAAAAACCCCTGCACATCCCAGCAGTTCAAGAGCAGCAGAATGTCTTTTGTTCTCCGCTTCCTACCCTCTGGCCCCTGGCTGTCAGCGAGCACTCGCTCCACAGACATGTCTGTGGGGCTGGCCATGTCCGTCCTTAGCTCCTTCACTTGAGAAATAACCAATGCTGAGGCCACTGTTGTGTCTGAGTTGCTTTTTTTAGGTTTCTGTGAACAGCACAGGTCCTAGAACTAATCCTGTGGGACTTACTTTCTAAACAGAGAGAGAGTAGCACGCTAAAGAGATTAATCAGGGTATTTTTCCTATTCCAGCTAAGTGTTTTCCAAGATTCTTGAGAATACATCTGCAATTTGTCATTACCATAAAATTACCATTTGCCAGTAACCTAGTGAAGGAATTTCTTTTGAAAAGTAATGATTATAAATGCCTTCTGTGATTGTAGCATGCGTTTCCTTAGCCCAAGTGATTCCAGGATTTGGT